GTCCAAGTCTTGATTTATGGATTCTATTGCCACTTTTATCTCTTTAAATATTGTAGCCACACTTAAACTCCTTTCTGCAGTTCCTTAGGCTTCAATTTTTCTCTTTTTGCATTTTCTGGCTAATAGCAGTGCGTTTTATTTCACACTTTGCCCCCCGTTCATCCTCTGGGCAGGGACCACCCCAGGGCACGGGCTGTGGGGCAGGTGGGAGGGGCTACCACAGCCGACCCTGCACTCGGCCTCCGGGACACCATCTGTGGTTCCAGGGACCTGGGGGAACCTGCACCCGGGGTCCAGCTGCCGCCCATGTGGAAGGAAGCTAAGCCCCTCACAGCCACTCGGCGGGGTCTTTGCAGGGAGCCCAGCCTGGCTGGGGCGCCACAGTATCGCCTACACTGCACAGGAGGCCATGCCTTGAATCTTGGGAGGACGCAGGGGGGCTGGACCCCCACACAGAGCTATGGGCAGCGTGGCCTCGTGCCCCCTCCTGTGTCGTCCTTGCCTGTTGAGGGGATGGCCCCCCGTTGTCAGGGAAGCCTCTACCAACCTCACCCTGCGGGACCTGCAGGCCCCTCCCCTGAGCCGGAGCCCAAGGGCAAGTGGGGGACAGCCCCCTGTAGGCAGGGCCGTGGGGCTAGAAGGTGAGGGAGGGCGTGATGGGTCTGCAGGCTCTCTGTGCCCGTCCCTTGCAGAGCCCCGTCACTGTCCCTGTAGCCATAGGTCACCACGCAGGTGAGGGGGGCCACCCCTTCCCAGGCCTGGAGCCCCTCCCGGACCCAGAGCCCCTCCTGGGACCCAGAGCCCCTCCAGGGACCCAGAGCCCCTCCTGGGACCCAGAGCCCCTCCAGGGACCCAGAGCCCCTCCCGGGACCCAGAGCCCCTCCCGGGACCCAGAGCCCCTCCCGGGACCCAGAGCCCCTCCTGGGACCCAGAGCCCCTCCCGGGACCCACAGCCCCTCCCGGGACCCACAGCAGCTGTCCTTGACAGCATGAATGAAGGATGCTGGGGCTGATGTTGGGTTACAGCAGAGACTCAAAGACTGTCCACCACTTACCTTATTGGCATCTAGAATCTTCCGCAACTCCTCATGGCTCTGCTGAGTGATGAGCACCGTCTCTGCTGAGGTGACACAGCCACTGCATGCCAGACAGTCGTCCAGTGAGATTTTGGCTTTTTCCAGCTTCCGTGTCCCTCCGTCCTGGAAGCACAAGAACCCGGTAATGAGGAAAGAGAGCTCTGAGGATAGCGGGACCTCCCGGAAACCTTGATCCTCTTGCTCACACCACTGACAACCAACATGATAGATAGCTGGCTTTATGTGCTACTAAATTTTTAAAAGTTACTTATTACAGGAGTACTTATACTCATTCTAGATTTAAATAGCACCATCGAATTCTGACTGGTACAACGTCAGCTGGAGGCTGGAGGCCACCCTGGTGCCCGCCCTCACCTTGGTGGTGAAGGACGCCGTCTTGCCGTAGTGGTTCAGCATCTGGTCGCCGCTCAGGCTGTGGTAGTCGATGGAGTCCCTTTTGATCGTCCAGAGGAAGTAGGGGACCTCGTTTCGCACCAACCTGGACTGGCAGGAGGCCTCCATCAGGACCCGTGTCCTGTGCCGCCAGTTGGCAGGGCCACCGGGGAGTCTCCGCCCCCATCACACCCGCTGCGGGGCCACCGGGGAGTCTCCGCCCCCCACCCACCCGCTGCGGGGCCACCGGGGAGGCTCCCCCCCCATCACAC